CGAAGCCAAATCATAGGAACAAGGTTGTTTCTGAAGGAGTTCGTGAATTGTAGCCATTTCAGTGACTGATCTTTGCACTAGTGCGTTGTGGCGGAGCAGACCTTTTCTCTTCGCCTCCTCTTAGTTTCAACAAAAGTGAAACATTAAATGCTGCGTTCATGGTGGTGCCTTTTGTTCATGATGATGAACAAGGAGGCTGTAACATGTTCTGCTGCTGGTGCAGTCTTTACCTTCTGTGCTAGCGGGGTTAGTTGTGGCGGAGCAGACTTTTTCTCTTCGCCTCCTCTTAGTTTCAACAAAAGTGAAACATTAAATGCTGCGTTCATGGTGATGCCTTTTGTTCATGATGATGAACAAGGAGGCTGTAACATGTTCTGCTGCTGGTGCAGTCTTTACCTTCTGTGCTAGCGGGGTGGTTGGTGAGAGGGTGTGCTGTGATGTCAAATGCTTTGATTCTTGTTCGGAATCAGGTTGAGGATAGTTAACATCGGTGCCATCAACAGTCAGAACTCTTTGATACCAAAATTGTGACTCAGAAATGAGGTGAAATGGAGTTCAAGATATTTTGCAATTATATACTACTCACACCTTGCTAAGGATCAAATCATTAATTCAACAGAAAACTATGATGTGGGGTCAAATTTGGTTGAAACATCTAAGCCTATTGTAATCATGGATCAAAGTTTTCAGTATGTCATTTCATCTGGTGGATCCCATACCTGCTATTGACAGGTGTTGTGTATTTATCAATGACCCGTGCCATGATTTGCAAAATGGTTGATTGGTGCCATGAAAACCATTTTTATGGTTTCTCATGTATAAATGGATACAATTTCAAATTATAAATCTACGGTTAAGTAAAGTTGTGAATTTTTGTGACCCTTAGCATAGTGTGAGAAGTATATAATGTCTATGTGTGGTGTGGGACTACTCCCATTTGTGAGAACTCCCAGTTGTGAAACAGTGGAGTAGGTAATTAGCTCCCCTATCTGATAGAATGGATTAACCCCAGCTAATTAGGGATTAGCTATTCAACTGAATCTTGTGGAGGTAACTTAATGAAACTCAGGAGATAAAGTAATTAACCTACTCAGGTAAATGGCTTTAAAAAATGAACACTTTGTGTAGGTAACTTTGTGATCATTTGAAAGAGAAATATATTTACCTACTCAGGTTTACATGTTTGAAAAATCTAGCAATAACTGTTGTAACTATAATTAATCCAAATGTACTTATTAACCCGTGACTGCTCTTTCCGATCACCATTATGGCAGGCCTTGAACAAGTAGAATATATCCCCAGTTCATGAGGCAGTATTCAGGTGCTCTATCAGGGTTACCTGTATTACAAGAACAAGCAGCATCAGACTTGTACCCATTGGAGATGTACAAAAACAACGTGCAACGGCAAATGCACTACAGTCAGCGACTATGTTCGGAATGTGACTGATCATTACCATCCTCCATGAGAAGATGTCCACCGCCTCCGTTTTGTGAGCAGGCTGAGAAAGTGACCACGGGATGAACCAACATCAACTATGCCGAGCATCTACAACGACGAGGTGACACAACTTGATGCAGCTGCTGTTGGAACTCTTCCCTCCTTCCCATCTGTCGAGAGTGCTCAATCGAAGCCACACCACCCCTAAGCTTCCTCAGAACAGAACCGATGTCAACCTCACTGCTCCATGAACGGACACATGCGACGGCAACAGATTTCTGCTGTGGGTGTCATAGCTAAGGTGCATATTCACCTCAGACAGAGTATATGGATTCCAAGCAGACCTTGCTTTTGTTCTTTTATTCCCTCAATGTCCAATGGCAGGAAGGTTAACAACAATTACCTTCTCTGACATCTTTTGGTTGACATGGCAATGTCATTCCAACAGTCATTGGTTGACTGAAATCCTTGTTTATAGAAAACTCAAATGCTAATAAGTAGCTTTTTTACCGTTTTATTCATTAAAGTCCACATTTGTTTCAATATGTTGTCCCTATGGCATCTGGACCACCAAGAAATATATACAAATGTCCCAACAAATACTTAAAAGTATACCATTCATATGAAAAAATGAAAAAGTTTACAATACACAAAACTGTGAAATATAAGGATAACAAAAGAAACAATAAATTAAATCACATTTCACGGTTCAAGCAGGGTAAATGCTTCAACACAATGTAGCTTTAACATTATTTCACTAAAATATGAATTTACAGAAAACAAGATTTTGTGTAGTTATAAATAATATCACATTCAAATACCTAATTAACAGGCATCTAAGATATTGGATTATAAAATCTTCAACATCTCAAACAATAATTTAAGCACGATATAGAAAGATTTCTTTTAGGTTTTATTAATAAATCATAAAGAAATGAAAGTATGTTCATGCTTATCAAATCTAACAAATAAAGTTAGGTTGATTAACAACTCTTAATTTTAAAATCTGATCTTGAAAACAATGTTTTGAAACAATTTGAAATATCTTCTCCTTCATAAAGCTTTATTTAAAAAGACTTCAAATGAAGACAGAAGCAATTATTCCAGACACTTAGACTACATTTCAGACATCTGTACATAAACTATCATCCAGTGGTATTGGTACCAATACTTGTTTTGAATTTAAAAGAAACTGCTTGTGTCCAGGTCACGTGTCACACAGGTGACTTATTGAGATCAGGTGGCATCAACTACCCTTCACATTTGTCCATTACGCTGCTGGTTGGTAAGTTATTCCTGCTTCTGCTAGCTCACATGTCCACAGCACAAGTTTCACAAGATGTGAGTATTCTTTCTTGTTGCCACTGAAGTGCTATATAAGGGAGCCATGAAAATTAACAAGGAGAATATTAAACCTATGAAAGTCAACAATAGTTAAAGAAAACCTGACACACTAGTTCCAATCCTTTCAGGCTCACATTGACACATGGTGTTGATTTTAATGGTGTCATAACTTGTACTGTCACCGAGGACAACGACATGTTGTATACTAGTGTCTTCAGAACAAACAAGAAGTACACATGCTTAGAAAACTCATTAATCTGCTGTCCTTCAATATGCAAATCGTGAATTAAATTTAAAATATCAGTTCTAAGACACATTTTTGTCAGATTATAATGTAGTTGATTATGATGTGATGTAATATCCTATCTAGACAAACCAGTCAGAAAAAAACCAGGATCAGTTATCTAGTTACAAGCACCTGCTTATTTATGATAAACCACACCAAAACTATCTCAGGTCTCTTGTATCATTATCTATCAATCCATTTCAAACAAAAACATTTAAATCTGCAGTTTTTTTAATGTTGTATTAAATTGGAAGAATCAATAAAAAATGTCAAGTCTGAGTTTAACTAAGAATAGAATGCCCCTTGTGGTCCCATAAAACCAGTACCTGACCAATGTGTTTTGGTATAATGTCCAAGCCATCCAGAAACACAAAAAGAATTAGTGTCAGTAGTTAGAGAGAGAGAAATGTATGGAATAAATAAAATAAATCCTACAGGTCTCCAAAACAAAGGATGGCAATTAATCAGCTGGAAGAAAGAGAGTTTCAGGGGATTACACCTGTGACTTGGCTCAGATAATCTCATTTCCAGACACAAAATAATTCTGACCTTAACTGGTTACTATAAATGAGTTCTTACTGCATGACCTTGGGTGTATTTAAAGTTCTTTTTAAAATATCAGGACAGTGTAATGAGTCACTAAGGATATCTCATCAATGTCGTGATCATTACCTATCTGCCCTTGCATTCTCTGTCACACTTGTCCTCTATCATCCATCACTTCAAGTATCCTAGACACAATAATTCAATATTTGATCAGATATTGTTTCCCAAACCAAGAGCTAAAAATGATGGATCACCAAATAATTATCACCCTGACAAATATTGGATATCATGTTTGAAAATGATCCTTAACAGTACCGAGGCTGAAAGATTGTTGTAGAAGTTCAAGTTATCAGGGTCCGTTTGAAAGTCATTTGACATTTTGCTTTGGAGAACACTGTTACTTCATTAACTGATTCCACATATGTTCAGGCATGTTTCATTTCGCATCAACTGTACCAACTACACAGCGATACAAAGCAAGCAGTGATTGCTTGGGAACAACAACCTGCTACACAAATTAGCTTGATGTCTAAAGTACAGTGGTGTTGATTGGCTGTGTTGATTGTCCAGATATAACAAACAAACACACTTATTACTCTCTCACCCTGGTGTCAGACAATCAGGAGTCTGTCGTCATAGAACATGGTTGTGTTGTCAACAGAAACATCGGTGTTTGTTATCAGAGAATATGGAAGGTTGCAATAAAAAATCAGCTTCACACTCAAACCTTCCAAATGACACAATCTTTAGTCAGAATCTGACACGTCACAACCTACCTACATGATTGTGTCTGTTTTCTCAAAGATATTGGGTTTCAGGTTCAGTAATAAGAATTGTCTGGATAGAAAAGACATTAAGGAACTATAATTCAGAGAAAAAACAGAAACATTGATATCATCTATCTACCATATGTTAAACTTACTGTATAGGATTAGTCAGGCTTATTTCTGATAGATTACCTACGGCAAGATATCATGGTGATGTATATTTGTTCATATACATTGCAATAATCTCTTTTTCAAGCCCTCTTGGGACTACGATGAAACAGAATTGATAATGAAACTAGGCAAGAATTGTACCTCACATCCATGAATGTTTAGTAGTTATGTGTTAACATGGCTGATGCCTGCTGTTGGCTTCAGATATCATAGATTCATCGCCAAGCTCTTTCAGAACTATCCACAGATCAAAAAAGCATCCTTTTACTTCATCTGGAATGAGTTAAAGAGTGAGTGAGTGAGTTGGATTTTACGCCGTGATATTCCAGCAATATCACCGATGGGGACACCAGAAATGTGAGTAGAAGAGAAAAGCAAGGATGTCAATGTAGCCAAGATAACCTTGAGGTAAAAAGATTCTTATCAGTTTGGTGTTTTTTCTAAAAAATGATTCAGAATTCATAGACTGTACTCCAAGTTCTGGGTTTGTCGATCATCAAGTGATATTCCAACAGAAAGCAATGACCACACAGAGGCTCCACATACAGCATCACAGAGCAACACGTCTTGCATCAGTTGACATCACACTGTCAAATCATATACAGAGGAAAGGTGGGATGAGCAATGAGAATCCAAGGTTATTGCAATCACAAGAGGTCATGGTCAGCAACAGAAGGGTGACCTTCAAACATTTAGCCTAACAACCGATGAACGTACACAAAGCCTTAAACAAAGCTAGTAACCTGTAAGTAAATCACTCCCACACAAACTATATGATAACATGGTTATATGGTGTTCCAATGATATTTACACCAAATAATATTTACAAATAAATCTGAAAAATAAATTATCATTTGAAGCCTTTATTTACAGGTATTGGTTTAATTCCTAGTTAGCACTGTTACATTAACACCTCGACTTCTCATCTTAATGATGTCCAACTAAATTCAACATGTCCTTCACATGGTGTTCATGTTAAAATTAATGATTTGGCTCCTATCTGATGTAGGAATGTGTGAAGATACTTGATTCATCAACACTGCCCATAAAAGCCCAGTTAAAACCATGTCATATAATGAAATTCAGGCAAACATATGTTACGTCCATAAACAGGATGTATGTTTGAAATCCCACACATTTCCCAACAAGGGTTCATCAACTTCCACTGACACCCCCATGTCCATTCAAACAATAAGATGACATAACAAGCAGAGTAGTTGTTTGATGCAATTCACAGAAACAAACCGATGAAACATATACACTGAAATAGAGAATAAAAATACTCTCAGTAACACATAACTTTCACATGCAACACCCCAAGTTCTTGCCTCCCTCATCTAAGATCCTTGCACTCCCACTATAGTCTCAGAAATATAGCTATATGAATACAAAACTGTCCCTGAAAGAACCCTTTCATTTAAACCACGGATCAATAAAGATATGTCAGAAACATTGACCAGATTATCTACCCTTATGATATGACCATGTTATTACTCCACTGATTTAAGTATTTCTTCCCAACATATATGATGACCAGATATTGGTGTTGGATTTCTAGCAGGATGCCCCAAGCTGGTGTCACTAGCTGAAGAGTACAGTGAGAACATCTATGTACATTAAGTCCTAGTGTGTCATTATGCATAGCAATACTGGAGTAGCCCAGATGGAGTGTGTGACTGGAGGAGATGTTCCTCCCAGGCTTCTCTATGACTTGCTCTCCTCCATCGCACCCTTGGCCTCTCCCGCTGAGCTGTAACAAGAAAAATGTAACCTCTTGGCCTCTCTAGCTGAGCTGTAAGAAGAAAAATGTAGCTTACACAGTGTTTTACTCTTTCAATGACAAAAACACACTTTTATTACTAAGGGGTGAAAACAGCAACTTACAGAGTGTTTTACTCTTTCAAGGACACAAACACACTATTATTACTAAGAGGTGAAAACAGCAACTTACAGAGTGTTTTACTCTTTCAAGGACACAAACACACTATTATTACTAAGAGGTGAAAACAGCATCTTACAGAGTGTTTTACTCTTTCAAGGACACAAACACACTATTATTACTAAGATGTGAAAACAGCAACTTACAGAGTGTTTTACTCTTTCAAGGACACAAATGCACAATTAGGACTAGGTGAAAAGTGCAGCTGTATGAAAGGTTGAGATACTACACTTTTATAGATGTAGTGATGTTGCTTTTCTCTCCTCTGTCCATCAAATATAGACTGCTTAATGCGAAAGATCATTGGCCTTTTGTTATATGTGTATAAGTTGATTTCTGCTGTTGTCAGCAGTATTACAGCTATGTCACAGAAATCAGACCAGAAATCTGTAAGAAATCAGACCAGACCAGGCCAATCAGTGGCTGACAGCATGACAAAGTCAACATTCTTGCCATCTTAACTTTACACACTGTTTCACCAAGAAACAAGCTCTCATGTTGCCACTGAATTAATACCTCATCACACTGATATCAGAGGATGGGTGAATTAAGTTTAAGCTGCTTTGAGACGTATTTTAGTTGCATCAAAATATGAAGGCTTTGAAAAAACAAAAATGATGCAGGTCTTAGAAAGATGTTAAGCGTTTAAGCAAACTTGATGAGAATAGGTACTCTACTGACAAAGAAGAACATAAACAAACAGAAAATGGGATTATATAATATCAGGTTCCTGGTAGACAGAAAGGATGCAACTCTGTACAGTGAATTATGTGCCTTAGACAACTAGGCCATCCATGCCTACTTCTTGATATGAGTTTCACACAACATCGCCAACAAGCTGAATACAGTGCTTCAAAATACAGAACCTTAAAACACATTAGCCGTTATTGAAACTGGGCTAGATCCTTTAAGCCTTCCTCAATCTACATCAATCATGTAGTTATTCCTGGGAGCAATTACAACAAGTACCGACAGTTAGTGTAACTAAGCTATTCATGTCCCAGTAAGACCTAAGTTCACCTTCTTGTTGATTAGTAGTCATCAGTAGATACTGGCAGTGTTCAGAGGCTTCTAATTCTGGCTACCAATAACACTAATGAGTGTTAGTTGATCATTAATCTCTCATTGACCACTACTTAGATTGACAACTAAACAGTGCAATCAATAAGGTGATGAATCAAACCCATAACATCAAATGTGTGAGAATAGAGCAGATACTAGGGGTTAGGTCGCTGGCTGACAATCATTAGCAGGAGACTTGCCGGAAGTGGAGATGAGAAAGGGGTGGGGTGTGGAGGAGGGACAGGGGGGATCCAGGTGTGAATAGGCAATGGTCCAGGAAGGAGCAGAAATGTAGGCATAAAAGGTTAAGTGCCTACAGAATGTTCTTGGAACGGGTGGGAATGTAGGTGTACAAAGGCCAGTGCTTACAGAATGTTCATGGAACAAGGGGGGGTAAAAAAAGTAGAATGTAGGTGTAAAAAGTTAAGTAAATAGAAACTATTCCTGCAGTAAAATTGAACAATGTCCTAGCTATATCACTGTGGCCTGTAATTAATTGTGTCAGGCCAGGAATACATATGGTTGATAGCATAAGCAATATCCCATGCTACCAGGATAAAATGACACACAACAAGCCAACTACTATATAGCCAGCCAATCCGTCTTTTTTAATTCCACATCTTCGTTACACATTCAAGAGCTCACCTTGGTTTCTCTTCTCCTACTTCTTTTCCAATTTCAATTCCTACATCTGACGAATCTTGTTGAGGAGCAGGATTGGACTGGCTTGGTTGAGCTGGCTGACTGGCAGCTGATTGGCTGGTTTGAGCTGATTGCATGGCAGCAGATTGGTTGATAAGTTCAGCTTTCACTTCCCCAGCTGTCTTGATGGTCACAGTTTCAGGTTTGGGAGCATCCTTCCCCCCGGTGACCGTGCAGGTGCAGCATTATTCCCTGCACCATCTTCCTGAATCTGCATGTGGTACTTGTATGTGTTCTCTGTGCTCAATATCTTACCTGGAACAAAGTTGAAGTGATTATGTATAGTAAACCATACCAATTACCAGTTTCTTTAGACTTTTGACAACATATCCCAGTTTGGTTGCAGAGTAAATGATTTCACATTCAACAAACTCGCTAGGTATTTTGTCATTTCTGTACAGATTCGGGGTTGGTCCTTCTACCATGATAATGACACAGCAGGGTGTATTTTGGTGCCAGTTCGTATGATTATCTATATATATGATGAGAACACATGAAGTTTAGGGGATTGGAATCCATGCTTCCTTGTCTTGCTAATGAGATAGTACTGTTGCAGAAACATGAGTGCGAGTGAGTTTTGTTTTCGCTGCTTTTAGCAATATTCCAGCAATATCACGGCGGGGAACACAAGAAATGGGCTTCACACATTATACCCATGTGGAGAATCAAACCCAGGTCTACGGCGTGACGAGCGAACGCTTTAACCACTAGGCTACCCCACCGCCCCTGCAGAGACATGAGATGATTATACCTAATTTTGCAATTTGTGGGATATAAATTTCAATTTTTACTGGTATGTTTACTAATGATCGTCCATCAAGGTGAAAGATAAACAACTCTCGCCAAGTGGCTATTAAGTACACTGCAGTGAACTAAAGTTGCTATTATATCAGGGGTGGAAATAACCCATTGCCCGACGTCCGAGTCCAGTGTATTTTTCTGTCGGGCAAGCAAATTTGTATATCACAATGTACCAGTGTCCAGTTGACTTTCCAATGTTAATTTTGTTGTTTATTTTAAAAAATCAACAAGAAAACGGCCGGTATAGTGGAAAAATTATCAGGGCAAGTGATTTTACATGTGCCACTGTTCCGGAGTACACTAGGAATTTTAAAGTTATTTCCACCCCTGTATATGTTCTCTAAACATCTGTCTTAAAACCGTGCAGGTTGTAAGAGGCATGTTGGATCAGTGCTCTATATGATGCAAACTATATCACAACAGTCTCTGTGTAATCAAGGCATGGCAATACTGATTGATGTCATGTGCATCGATCTATCCATGTGTGACATGATGGTATGCATCGATCTATCCATGTGTGACATGATGGTATGCATTGATCTATCCATGTGTGACATGATGGTATGCATCGATCTATCCATGTGTGACATGATGGTATGCATCGATCTATCCATGTGTGACATGATGGTATGCATCGATCTATCCATGTGTGACATGATGGTATGCATTGATCTATCCATGTGTGACATGATGGTATGCATTGATCTATCCATGTGTGACATGATGGTATGCATCGATCTATCCATGTGTGACATGATGGTATGATGGTATCCATCGATGGTATGCTCTATCCATGTGTGACATGATGGTATGCATCGATCTATCCATGTGTGACATGATGGTATGCATCGATCTATCCATGTGTGACATGATGGTATGCATCGATCTATCCATGTGTGACATGATGGTATGCATCGATCTATCCATGTGTGACATGATGGTATGCATCGATCTATCCATGTGTGACATGATGGTATGCATCGACCTATCCATGTGTGACATGATGGTATGCATCGATCTATCCATGTGTGACATGATGGTATGCATCGATCTATCCATGTGTGACATGATGGTATGCATCGACGATGTCAATGAGTCTGACGAATCAATCCTGTTTGCCTCTTACAACATATGCAATCACTCTTAATGACAACCCTGGATTGCTGAATATCAATTATAACCAGCATCTAAAAACTAAAAAGAATAGAAAATGTAACTGATTTGTTAGATAATTTCATATTCATAAGACATAACACGGGGCAAGAGATTCCCTGATCAGTGTGATATGTTAGTCAGGATGTATGACAATGGAGAAGAGTGAGTGAGTTGGGTTTTACGCTGCTTTTAGCAATATTCCAGCAATATCATGAATGGGGACAACAGATATGGGTTTTACACTTTGTACCCATGTGGGGAATCGAATCTGGGTCTTCAGCGTGACGAGCGAACGTTTTAACTACTAGGCTACCCCACCGACGGCAATGAAGAAGAAATAGCACTGACAAAGCCTACAGAAAATCAAGAACCACAACTCTGATCGTTCATAATAATGGTGACTTCAAACGTAGGTTGACATATCCCTCAAGCAAGGAAACTGACTGAAGGTTTAAACCACCATCGTGTAGTTCCAGGTGTCTCAAGAGGGAACCTTTGCTCCAAATCTTTCATCTCAATTACCACAAATTCTTTGGATATTCCAGAATATGAGTAATATTCCTACTCCTTGAAATAGCGTCAGACTAACAAAGGTCTGGCTTACTACTTGACTTAAACCAACTTAACCCAAAAACTTGTGAAGCAAAACTCTCACTCTCAGTAATTACCCATAATCTCTGCTGTGCTATTTGCCCCTAAGAATTGTCACTTCCCGTGATTATGTGAAGCATGTAATTGAAACAGTGTTAAATCCCAGGGCATCATAAACTAGGTGGTGGATATGGATGCCTACTTTAAAGTGGTGTAAGTTATCTGTCATTTCCTTCAAATCACTTTGGTCCACCGAAATATCTCCCACAAATAACAGTAATTGATATGCTTGCCGATGCATTCTAGGCGTTTCAAAGATGGAAAGTTCAGAGCACCTATGAAATGGATCTGTTTCTAGGCGATTGAAACTTTGTACAATTCAATCAAGAGATTCCAAATCTGCTGAAAACGCCACTGCCCCCAAGGAGGAAGATCTTGTAGAAGACATCACCGGTAAATTTTGCCATTTACGCCGCAGGGGTGCCACCTAATCTTCTAGCACTATAAACACTACGGCAATGACGTGCACATTTTCAGGCCGTTCTTCCTGCCTTGCTCCTACTTTCAGTGACCACTCTTAGGCACGCAATCACCAATAATTGCATTAGGAGATCCATTTTGAAATGAGAGATTGTAATATTGATTTTATAATCAGGTACAGGACATTTGTGAAAGCAATACACTGATATGGTGAAAAAAGTAATTCCTTCATGAACACAGACCTCAGAAAATGTTTGTGGTCCAGAGCATGTGTAGGCATAAAATTAAGGTTCTATTGAACAGTTTAACTTAACTAAAGACTTCCACTGGATACTACTGCTTAACCATTGTCCCAAACAGGATGATACAAAGTGTACCCACATAAAAACAGTTAAGTGTACTCTGAACATGCTGTCCATTGTACTAAATTCCATGATGTAAACAAATTTGAAGAACTTATAAAGATACTTGTCCTGAAACATTTTTCAACAAATAAGAAATACAAAGAAAGGGTTTAAATACACTGCACTGACTGACTGACTGAGTTTGGTTTTACACCGCTTTTAGCAATATTCCAGCAATATCACGGCGGGGGACACCAGAAATGGGCTTCACACATTGTACCCATGTGGGGATTCGAACCCAGATCTTCGGCGTGACGAGCCAACGCTTTAACCACTAGACTACCCCACCGCCCCTTAAATACACTGCAAGATTAAAATAGAATGATTTGCTCATGAGTCAACAAGATATGATCTTAAAATTTCAGATGTTTGCACTACGATTATCAAGTCAACCAAGTCTTAGTAAATGTCAAATAGCGCAATGAAATTTAAAATTATTGAGAAACTAATAACTATGATAAATATATTTTATACAACATTTTTACATCTATGTAAACATTTGAGAAAATTAGTTAGATGGAATAGAAAGAAATCCATGAGGCCACCATGATATTTGTGTAAAAACACAGAGATCTATTACATTAACAAACATCTTCAGATTTTAAAAGCACACTAACATGATTACAGCCCAGATTGCGAAATCAAATATATAGTTTGATTTTTGGAACAAACAAGCTAATAATCTATAAACAGCATAACAAATACAATGTTACAATGTCCATTTAGTTACTTTTTAACTTGAAATTACTAATATTAAAATGTAAAAATTTAGCAGGTTTGTTTTCCTATTAATTTAGAGTTATCAAAATGATGAATAATCAACAAAAAGTGTATTGATATGTCGCCCAGTGATTCATGGCTATTGCACAACCACCACTTACGCAATATGAAATATGACAGATTCAGGCAAGCTGAGGTCATATGACTTGAAGTGCAGCCATGGTAACTCAATAATGAAACTGATGGTTGCTACATGATGGACACAACAAAGTGAATTCCGCAGTCCCTATGGGAACATTTTGCATATGAGCTCTGATTATAAGAATCATGTGTCTAACTGTAAACATCAAGGTTTCCAATTCCAGGGATTGAATGCCCACATGTTGTAATTAAATGTCCTGGAAATCAGATCAGCTGAAACCTAATTTCTGTGATAGGGATTAGTAAAATGTGTCAATCATTGGCAGTTCTGGTAGTGATAGCAAAACTCTAGGAAAGCATTTTACAATTTTGTATTGGGCAACAAGGGAATATGATGAAAGAATAGTGAGTGAGTGACTTTGGTATAAAGCTGCTTTTAGTAATATTCCAGCAATATCACAGCGGGGGGTCACCAGAAATGGGCTTCGACGTGTTGACTGAACGCTTTAACCACATGCTACACCACCGCCCCTGATGAAAGAATTAACCTAGGGATTACAACCTTTCCGTTGTCTCAGTGTGACATTTAGATAGGGTCTAAGAGCCATTATGAATTAATTGCCTGTAATGAAATGTCTTCCAGGAGAAGGTTGTGCTGATAATGATGTATGAAATATTTTCAAATCCCCAATTTAAAAAACGAACAAATTTATACCAACAGTACCCTTTTAAGAAAAATTATGAGGACAACCTCATAAGTCACTAGAGCCATGTGCTGCACTTGGTATATCTTCTTAAAGTTTGAAACCAATATCATCACTACCCTGTGAGTGAAGTGAGTTTAATGCTACTTCGGACAGTATTCCAGTTATCTGTCTCACTTACAGTAGAAGGAAGTGATGCAGGTCACCAGACACCAGAAAGAAATGGGCTATATTATGTGGGGAATTGAACCCGGGTTTG